AATTGCCTTAATAGCCACAAAGAAAAGATTTATTTTCTCCAAACAATTGTAACGTTTGTCTCCTTTTAAGAAGCATCTACTGCCAAAATAAACATGTGCGTTGGAAGATGCATTTTGGCTGCAAAGATGGTCCCACAGAAAGATGCTTCTGTCTGAAATAAACATCTTACTCCAAACATGCAGTGGAGTAGAGATGGCCAGATAGCAGAAATGGTAAATAAACACAGATTTGAATGTCCACTTCATTTTAAGTCATCTTCAAAAGAATCTGTTCTTATTCAGTTTGCATCTCAGTTGAAACTGAGATGCTCAGATACAACACCCTAACAAAAATTACTAACATCTACTGAATTTGGCCACTTTCAAAATAATGATCATATACCATGCTTTGTTGTAAAGGTCTTCACAATACAGATACTTTGTAAAAACTGAAAAAAGTTGCTTTTTCTCATAGAAACACTCATACTCTGAATGTGGTGGCACAGGCCTTTAATAACAGCACCTGGGAGATAGAGGGAGGTGGATCGCTGGGTTCCAGGCCAGCCTGCCCACCTGGCAAGACACTGAGAGAGAAAAGGAAGGAAGGAAGGAGGGAGGGAGGGAGGGAGGGAGGGAGGGAGGGAGGGATGGAACACTAAAAGCAGTTACTCAAATCTCTAATTCCTTCCATTTCGCCAGTCATATAATGACCACGGTGTCTTGCTCCCAGAATGCAGCATGATAAAGATACCAAGCCAGGACTCCCAGACCTGGGAGAGCACCTCCGAAGGTGTTTGTAATCTACTGACACAAACAAGCAGCAGCTTCTCCGGTCAACTGCTCTTCACGGCTACTTATTTTGTATAAAACTCTCTTAGAGTGCATAGGCAAAGGCCCACATTTGGGAGCACAGAAGCCTCGGAAAAATGAGGCAAGACCTTTGCGAAGCCACATCCCTGACCTGGCGAAGAACACCCTAACTTCTTTAGGTCAAATAAATAAATAAATAAACAAACAAACAAGCAAACCACCGAACTGGAAACCCAGTCCATGACAAGCTTGATGCTGCGCCTCTGTGTGGCTCCGTCCTAGATGAAACCAACAGTGTGCTTCTGCTAACCACCCCCAGGCCTGCTCCAGGAGCCTGGAGGCAGACCAGTCTCCAGAGGCAGAGAAAATTCATTTCTCCCCTCAACTCCATAAAAACCGAGTTCTTAGGGGACCGTGCAAAGCTGATCTGTTGAGGCATGTATCTGCCTGATGTGGGCGAGAAGGGGGCGAAGACCGCAAACCTAGTTCCAGTCGATAAAGACGGAAGCAGCCCGCTATTACCGCGCCATGCTTCAGTCAGTCAGTCATGGGGACATATCAAACCTAAAACTGCCACTACACAAATCAGGGCCATCGGGCTTAATGCTAATATCAAATGCTCAGTGGCCAGTCCTTCCCACTGAGAGACAAGAACTGAGCAGGGATGCTGTGCACAGGAAAGGCCATACAAGCACCGCAGTTCTAATGGGATACACATTTAAAATTCCTATCACAGGAGCGGAGTGCCGGCCAAGAATCAAACTGTGACCCCTGAGCCAAAGGCAACTTACCACTCAGCTGGTAAGTGGGCAACTCAATTTACAAAGCTGAATTCCTGCATTTTAATCCTCTGCAGAAATATATGAGCAATGCTAAATGAACTGGATTCAGCTCATTAGAGGTTCACAAACCAAACACAGGAAGCTCTGGAAGGCATCCAAAGCAAAGCCATGCCTAGGTGGCGATGTCCACTCAATGAACACTCAATGTCATAATTATCTTCCAACTTTTTCTCCGGAGAACATTAGTCCCTGTACTGAGGCTCCACCACAGTGCTGAGTCAATTACACCAACCCTAAGAAAAGACATAGGATGAGCACAGCGGCCAATCACAGTGTCCAGGCCTTGTTGTTTGTATACACATTTATCATTTCCAGATCTTGGAGAGAAAAAAAAAAAACAAAAATAAAAACAAAAAAAAAACAGACCAAAGCCCATTGTGGTGGCACAAGCCTGTGATCTTAGGGGACAGAAGCAGGAGGATCAGGAATCCAGGACTACTCTTGGCTACACTGTGAGTTTAAGGCCAGTTTAAAATCCTGTCTTAACCGGACACGTTCAAGTGCACATGTGCAGAGGCTAAAGTTTTATATACAGTATGTGCACACAATCTAACAAGTATCTCTCAAAAACTTTACAAATTACTCTCTGATTCTAGCTATTAAGAACTGCTCCATGGATTTGGTATTATACATGCAGTATTACTGGGGGAGAGCGTGCCGCTGTGGTCCAGTACTTGTTCATGATAAATGCTGTGTGTACTAGGGGAGAATGCAGTACCTCAGTAGGTGTGTGCGGAAGCATGTGCAAGGCCCTGAGTTCAATCCCCAGTGCTGGGGGGTAGGGGGCAGGGAGATGGGGGGTAGGGGCAGGGGTCAATATCTGAAGCTGTAGCTCCTTTACTACGGTAACAAGCATTCAAACAGAAATCTATCCCCAACTATTTTTCGACTTGGAATTTCAAAATGAGACAAGGCAGTCTTATAAATAAATGAAAGGGCAAAATTGGGCAGATTAGAGCCCTGATTATGATTAACTTGGTATGAAGGCTTGAGATTTCTACAGCTAAGATATTCACTTTCTCACCAAATATACTATTTTCTTTTCATTATCAAAAAGATCTGTGCACCTGGATTGGGTATTTATTTTTGGTTAGCAGTAAAACACCCCAACTAAAATCTTAATTTAAACCATGCCTAGGGCAGGGGAGATGGCTCAGTGGGCAAGGATGCTTGCCACCAAGGCTGAACTGAGTTCCACCGCTGGAATCCACACGGGGGAAGGACAGAAGCGGCTCCCACAGGCCGCTCTTCACCTCCACACATGCTGTGACACATAGGTAATTATTAATGTTTTTAAAAATCACACAAGACGGGCGGTGGTGGTGCACACCTTTAATCCCAGAACTCAGGAGGCAGAAACAGGTGGGTCTCTGAGTTCGAGGTCAGCCTGGTCTACAGAGCAAGTTCCAAGACAGCCAGAGCTACACAGAGAAACCCTTTCTCGAAAAACTATTAATTAATTAATTTCACAGAAAATGCATTTGCTATAATACTTGATGGGTAATCAGCAATGTGTCCTTTCAAGTAAATCTAAGAGTTATCAGATTTTAGAGATAAGTAAAGATCACGTAGTTACATAAAGCCAAGAAGGTAAGAAAATCAAGACTGTATTTTAGTGCAGACCTACTGCTCACTCCACACACTTGAGGAAGACAATAATGTAGAGAAATTTCCTTGGTAACCATTCTTCACAAACTTTCTGTATTTGGTTCTTGCTCTGGCTCAACAAACTAAGCCAACTTCTAAAACTAACAAGACCTGAACTCAGGACGAGAGAAAGGACTCTGTAGCTCTCTTGCCCAGGAATGCCTTCACAGCCTCATGTCAAGGAAACGCGGGAAAAGCAGGCTGGGAACCACGGGTGCCAGCATCTCACGGCTCAAGCCCACTGCCTCTCTGCCTCTTTCCTTCCGGAGCAGACACAACTGCTCACCCATTACATGGACTGCAAGTGCCGGGAGGCCTTCGGCTTCCTGCTGCGTGGGCTTCTTCCTTCACAGAGAGGAAGGAAACTCTAATAACACACAGGTTCTTGGTGGGGGACAGCTGAGAGCTGCCATTTTCTTATTTATCAATTATCTCCCCCACAATCAGCAGCTTCAACTCTGAAAGAAAGGGTAACCTGGAGTGACAGGAAGCAAAGGGTAACCTGGGATAACAGGAAGCAAGCTGATCCTTGCACTCAAGAGTTGTTCTTTTACTATGGAGTGAGGTTGCCAATAATGCACTAGTGCAGTGTAAGGAATCACTTGGGACTGAAGGGCTGACCTAATTCCATCTTCCCCTACAACTGCAAGGTGAGGACAGACAGAACTCAACTACAGAACACAGTCTCAGACGACTGAATCATGAAGGGGTGGTGCACACCTCAGTATCGCGTAAAATGCTGTCAACAGCTCTCCGCATCCACTTTCTAGAAAACCAAAGTTCTGTCCGACTCGTTTCCTCATGGAAGAGTTTTGGTGAAATGCAGAGAATTTCCTGGGAAGAAAGGCTATTAATGGCTACCATGGCTTAAGGGGTAGCATTATAGGGCCGCCCCAGTCTGGAGGCAGTAAAATGCATTTCCCCCAGCAGCCTCACACTCTCTGGGGATGCAAGGCCTGATGTGGCAATTTGTCAATAGCCTTTCTGGTGATCCTAGGCACTAAGTACCCTGACAGCCTGGATCCAACTGTGTCCTTCCCAAGGCCCACGCCTCCTCAGGCCAGCTGAACAAGCAAACCTAAGAACCCCGAAGACCATGAGCTGAGGCTGCTAGAAGACATGCAGCATGTATGGGTAGTGACACTTGATTCTGAAGGGGAGAGAAAGATGGGGTCTTTTGACAACTGACCCAATTCACAAATGAATGGAGAAACCTTTGCTAGAGCACACCACAGAAATCATCTAACAGAAGTAACTTTCTGGGAAACTTAAGCTGATGCTAACCCAGGCTGGTGGCACACACCTGTATCCCACCACAGGGAGACCACGCTTGAGGGCAGCCTGGGCTAACACAATCAGACTAACTCAAACAACAACCAAATAAAACTTTGAATGACTGGAAAATTCACATGAAGTCTTCTCTCAGCTCCGCATCTGAGAAGTTCAAGCTCAGAAATGTAAGAAAGTCAAGGTCACTGGAGCAGCAAGATTGCCTCCTACCAAGCAGGAGCTTTGTCTACTTTGTTGCAAGATCAATTTCCATTTTTAGTGTGAAAATGGTCTACTTCACTGCAAGGTAAACTTTCTATTGTTAACAAAAGAAAAAGGGGGGACATCACAGAAACACCCCCAAATTCTCTCAACACCAATAACACATAGAAATCCAGAAGAAAAAGAAAAAGCTATCAACACAACACGTGAAGGAGAGAAGCTGGCACCGACCTGCTGCTGTGGGTACTGCATGCCTCCCAGGGCCCCTGGAGCCCGGCCCTGCATGCTGAGGGGATACCGCTGTGCGCCCGGGGGACCATAGGAGCCTCCTGGGTATGGACTGCTCTGCTGCGGCTGGGAATGGGGGTGAGTGCCCATCCCATACAACTGCGGCCTCTTCATCACCATTGGATCCATGGGACTGCCCTGTGAGGAGAGAAAGAAGTGAGATTATTAGCTATTGCTTGTAACAAGTGCAGCCTTGGTATTTTAATACATATCTAAAACACAACTATCTAAATGTTGAGATTAAAGACCACAATTCCAAAAACTAAAAATCCAGAACATTAAAGGAAAAGGACTTTTTTAAACTGACTTTCAGAAAGAATTTTAAAATTAAGATCTGAAATGGACAATATAAGGTAAATTTTTATTTCCTAAGTACCTAGAATCCTAAAAAGCACAGAGAAAACAACATGATTACCAATAAAGGCAAAGATAATTGGCAACATTTTTTTATTCAAAGTGACATAGAACAATGACATTTTAGGTCTGAGTCTACAAATCCTGAGGGAGTCTTAGTGGTAAGTATTCACGGAAGTAAAAAAGAATTTTAGATAATACAAAATGCTTTTAGATCAAAATTCCCAAAGATATCTAGTATGCAGCAATAGCCCCAGACTATGAGTCACAAGCTTGTAAACACCGTACCAAACACACTAGTTCAAAGCTAACTCTGAATTTTATTTTTGGTCTGGTGAGTCAGTCCTTGGGCCTCAGGGCCAAGACCAGAGAGGTCGGAGCAGAGGTCAAGCAGGGCCTTCCCAACCAGGGCTGTGACAGTGAGCGCTACATGGGAAGCCCCTCAAGCGAGGCCACAAGGTCCACAGCATTCACAAACAGATCCTTCCTCCCAACCCTGCTGTGTGCCAGGCTCCCAGAACACAAGGCAGTAAGGATGTGAGGTCTCTCAGGGAGGGCTGCAGACTGAGTGGGAATCTAGGCTCAGGAGAGGAGGGCTGACACAGAACTCCAGCTTCAGAAGCTCACCTGCCTGCTGTGCCTGGGGACATGGAAGCTACGCGTGTGTGTGATGCAGGAGACTGAAGATTTACTGAAGAAGGCTGAGGCCAGAGCATGAGCCAAAGCCTGACAGGTCATCTCGGGCTGTCTCTTCGGATGACCCTCTGTGTGCTTTTATAGAAGGTTGTCATGAGAGCCACCTGTTAGGACTGCTCTCTCAGGAAGTGGCTGAGAGAGGGTCAGGCAGGTGAGACAGATGTCCTGAACCGGCAACAGAGATGAGAGGCTACAAGGCCAGACTCCAGGCGCGCGCGCGCGCGCGCGCGCGCGCGCACGCACACACGCGCACACACACACACACACACACACACACACACACACACACACGGACTCGGAGTCTACAAAGTGATGGAAGATGGATGGGTGGTAAGACACAGATTAAGAAACATGCAATGGGGGCAAGACTGGGAACCAACAGTGATGTTGACATGAAAGGTGATGTTTCCCTGGGCAACAAAGTAAATAAATGTTCAATAAATACAGGATGAATCAGCAGTAAAGCCCATTAACTTTATTCAGGAAGAATGGTCAATGAGGCAGAGGATCAAGAGTGTGAGGGCAGCTGGATATAGTTTGAGACTGCATAACAAGACCCTGTTTTGAAAGGCAAGTGGGAGAGGGACAGAGAGAACGATTGGCAGAAGAATAAATTAGGAGAGCAATACCATTTAGACAAAAGGGGCGGGGTGGGGGGTGGGAGTGGACCACAAAAAAACCTAAAGTGTCTGAAACTGCAGTCAGAATTCCAGGGAGCATGTTGTCATCGAAGAGAAGGTAATTTCATGGAGCAACAAGGCAGGCCCCATAGTGAGGGTGGAAAGCCTGTACCAACATTTGGCTAGGACAGGTACCTGCTAAGCTCTGCAAAGAAAGTGTCACTGCCAGAACTGGGGCATGATGGTGGAGGTGAAGACAGAAAGAAGAGCAGAAGTAGTGAGCCCCACAAACCACAGCTGAGGGAGGTGAGAAGTGCCAGCTTCCCCTCCCTCCACTTCCCACCACAAGATTTCAAGTGGTCATTTCCCTGGGGGGTGAAATGACCAGGTGAAGTCACCCGGTGGAGGTCCATTTTCGTGAAGTGATGAGAGCTGTGTGCACTGACTGATGATTTTAGCAGTGAGGGTGTGCACTACATCCTCACGGCGGCACAGAAATGAGCAGCCATGATGATGGTGAGGAAGATGGGGGGCGGGGATAAAGACATTGTGATCCCAGTACAGGGATGCAGGGGTGCAGGCAGCTGACACACTGCCTCAGTGGCAGGAGAAGAGAAAGGAACTGTGGGAAACACCTGACCTCGGCCAGAGCCGCCCCCCACCCCAGGAACAGACCTGTGGATACAGATCCTGCGTGGACAGACCACTGCGTGGAGCACAGAGGAAATGGGTGGACCCCTGGGTCACACCACCTACAAAAATTCACAAGTTTGGGGATTTACAGTCTATTACTTTCACCAACCAAACACTTTGAACCTAAAATAACTGCAAATGAACAGGAGCATATGGTTTTACTGCATCGATACACTGCTCTCCCATAACCCCGGCCTGCCTCACAAACACACATGCTGGCACGTCTGTGGTAACACCCAAATCTAGAACCAAGCATTTCCTCTGAGTATTTACATTGCAGTGTGCACTTGTGAACGGAGGGTGTAATTTTTCTCCAGATTTTCTTTCCAACGATAAAACAAGACTTTCTTTGGCAGTGCAAAAAATCAAGGTTGAGCTGGTAATTTTAAAACCAGCCGAGGGAACAGCGGCCTACAGAGAGGCTGCATACGTTCCCAATCAGGTCAGAGACCCATCAGCCCCGCCCTGTAGCAGCCCTGTGTCCCGCATTCGCTCAGCCAGCACAAACACAGGAGGGGTCTACTCACCCCACTCTACCTAACGCCCAAGCTAGACTGCATAATGAAAGCGCAAGGTTTAACGGGTGAGATGCGCAGAATGCCTGCGCTGGGATGCTAGCCCCTGGGATGCATGCCTGCCTTACCAGTGACGAAACTGTTCCGTACTATCTGTTTCGGCAACCCAGTCCTATTTAAAATGCAGTTAATTTGCACTTGAGTCAAAAATGTTAGCTTAACCCTGAGACTCCTGAAATTCAAGAATGTGAAATACAGATTATCTCCATCTCAAAGGCATCAGACCACTCATGAGACTTTATGTATGAAAGCTCATACCTACTCATATAACACATATTATTTAATTTTACCCTTCTCTCCTTATATTCTATTACTAGGCACTCATCCACAATCCAAATTCATCCCTCTGTGAACCTGCTGATTTGAACATTAAAACATGTAATGAAGTATTTCAGCTTCACTCCAGCTCTTCACTCATTACTAGCTTTATAAAGCAACTAAAACTTCAATCAAAACCAGGACTTTTCCTGAAAAACTAAAGGCTAGGTCAGTCCTCATGTGACATATACCCGTAAATAATTTTATGTTTGTTCTCATTTATCCTGTTAGACTATTTCTAGAGTATGACCGTTTTCATTCCTCACACAAAATGCATGCTGTGCCAGGCACCATCCGCAGTCAAAGGTCCTCCAGCACCTCACCAAGTGGGTGGTGGTTCCTCTCCAAGCGGCATTCCACAATGCTGCACGTGAGTTTCAATCCCATGAGACACATCCCTTGCCAGACTGGATTTTATTACTTGTTAAGACTTTCTCAGAATTCTTCTGTATTCAAATAGCCATGCTTTTCTCCCTCTCTCCAGGTCACACACACTTGATGGTGCCTGGTCTTTCAGGTAGCCAGTGTCTTCCCACAGTCTCCATTTTCCCATCCCAGGAAGTGTGAACTGAGGAAGAGTATGGTGCAGGTTTGAAAGCACATCTGTGTACAGACTCTAAGCACATGGAAACACAGTCCAGCTATATCCTGGCTTCTAAAAGCTGACCTGGGAATTCCCTTCTGTAAAGTATCCACCCAAAAGACAGCAGCTCATACATCTCTAGCATAAGTTAGAGCATCGCTCAGGGTCACTTCTTCAGAATATGCCTACATACGTATTTATAGCAAAGATACCTAAGTAACTTTATTTTATTCCTAAATATCAAATTAAGGGCCTAATTTACTGAATGTTTTGCTATGATTTTCTTAGCCCAGTTTCTTAAACCACAAACTGGATACAGATTTTGCAAAAGTCCTCAGAAAGAACCATCACATGTCCATCTACAAGTGTGTCTACACATCCCGATTAAACAAAAGCTCACAGAGAGGGGAGGGCCTTCTTCTTCTCAGTCACTGACTGGGGAAGGGAGTCTCTTTCTGGTACTATTCCATCACCTAGAAAGCTGACAAAAATAATCAAACCTAGTATGAACAAGTATTTGAACAAACAGGTATAAGCAGTATAAATGGGGGCGAGCGAGAAGGCTTAGAGGTGTAGTTCTTGCCGACAACCTGAGTTGGATCCCTACGACCCCCATGGTAGAAGAAGGCAACAGACTTCTGCTGCTGCTGTGGGATTATCTTTTTGTACACTGTGAAGATGTGTCTTTGCCAAGGCGCCTTCTGATTGGTTTAATAAAGAGCTGAATGGCCAATAGCTAGACAGGAAGAGGTTAGGCAGGACTTCCAGGGAGAGAGAAGAACTGAAGATGAACTTCACATGGCATAGAGACACTGAAGAAGTTGGACATATAGTACAGAGGAGAGGTGAGCCATGTGGCAAAATGTAGATTATAAAAACAGATTAAGTTATAAGAGCTAGTTGGGAACAGGTCTAAGCTAAAGGCCAAGCTTTCATAATTAATAATAAGTCCTCATGTCATTATTTGTGAGCTAAAGGCCCAAAGGAAAGTCAGACTACATCTGCAAGTTGTCCTCTGGCCTCCACACATGCTCTGTGAAGTATATGCACAAGGAGATACACACACACACACACACACACACACACACACACACACACACACACACACACACACACACACACACACACAGAGTTAGTAAGAGCCACCAAGTGCCTGGAACTCTGCAACCTAGAAGTTCAAAGAAAAATGGAACCAACTAAACTAACCTAGCATCACAAAAGCTATGCAGGAGGCATACTACACCAGCACAGAGGGATTTGTGAACGGATGGAAGGCGTGCACAAGACAGGGAGAGGTTCT